TCTCAACTGTTGGCACCTTTTAAAGCAATTTAAGGACTTTGATACTAGTCATTCTCTGCACTGTTTCAAATGCTCAGAATGTTAATCATACAGATACTGAATAAAGCTAACATCAATCAAAAATATTTCACTTATTGGCACCTTCATACTTCATTTGCTTTTTACTTTCTTTTCTTTTTCTTTCTCTTCATGCTAATCATTATCTGGCTATGAAAGGATGTCGGCCCATCATTGGGGGAAGGCTTTTGCGAAAAGGTGGGTTTTGTGTTGTGTTCCAAATTCAGCTGGTCTTAGACTCAGTCTCTCCCTTGCACTAGTCTCTCACAAATGGAGATGTTTTACGCCATTTCCTTCTAGGTTGAGTAATACCAGGGTGTGGCCAGGGGAGGAGAGTGCCTTTTTTTATGAGGGAGGTTGCCTTGTTTGCTTGAAAATTGGTAGTTTTTTTAGAGAACCCTCCTATGTGCAAAAAACCCAACCCCTTTAACATATTTAAAACATCTTGAAGTGGAACCTGATGCATGTCAACTTATGGAAGAAAGTGCTTTCTTGTCATGAGTGGATTTCAGGAGACTTTTAAAAGAGATGGTGACTCTGGCTAGCCTGAAGCCACACAAAGTGTTTGGTCTCCTTGCTTCAGTTCCCTGTCTGTTGTATAATGGTTTTCTTTGCATGAAGACAGGTATTTTGGGAATCCTGCAGCCATGGTGTCATGAATGAATGTTATCCTTACACAGAACAAATGTCCAGGAGATACAGCTTGCCTACCACAATAAGTGGAGACTTACTACAAATAAGTACATGCTTGTTTTAAATCTTAGGCATTTAAGACAAACCCCCTTTCTTATTGAGCCCATATAAAAGTAGACCTGGGAAAGAAGCCTGAAATTTAACAAAATCTTTGGGTCAGGGGAAGAGGGAGATAATCTACACAGTTGAGTGTCTGTTTGGGAGGAGACAAAAGACCTGCATCTCAATTTAGAGAACAGAGGATGCTGTTGCTATTTCTCTTGGCTGAGATTGGAGCTGTTAATCTGTGGTGTTGGTTCTATTGCATTAAAGTACCTGCTGAGATAACTATACTGGGAAGTAGCTGAGTACAGCCAAATGCTATAGAAGCTAATGCCTGTCTTGAACTTTTCCTGGACCATCTATATTTTTACCTTTTGCTTTCACCATTTAGCTTCCCATCTACCTGTCATGGCTGCATGAAAATTATTCTAGTGGGAGAAACATTTCTACTGTTTTCAGTTTATGCCTTTTAATATTACATGCTACCAAGCCCTCTTCTTCCTTCATTTCCATAAACAAAAGAAAAATCCATGTTGAAACTGGGAAGATGTTTCCTGCAGCTTTTAAAAAGCTTGTGTTCTGTTCAGTATAATAATTTTGTATTTGACAGAGACATCTTGTGTTGACTTGCTGGTAAATTTACTTACATGAAGTGAAGTTCAAGTTAAAAATGCTTGCAAATGGACAGATTTATACAGAGTGAAACATGGCTGTGAGAAGGTCATTTGGAGAGAACTGAACTCCTTAGGAGTATGCAGCTTGATATGCAAAAACCACAGCTTAAAAACATCATATTCTTGAAAATAAATAATCAGGGTTAGGGTGGAAATACAAACCTCTGTACCAGGAGATGGTGTTAAATTTATCAATGCTGGTCCGAAGAAGTTCACAGCTGTTGTTTCTCCCTTTAAGTGCAAAGCTAGAAAGCATGAAAAAAATGATAGGACACAAGAAGTCATTCCTCAACAGAGGACAGTGAAGCACTCAAGCTATATTAACTGGGATAGTTCACTATATGGAATAGAATTTTTAAGCAAAACATGGTCTTTCTTTTACCTAGTGTTTATCTAAAGTAGAATATGGGTAAGATCAGTTCTGAAAGACATGCTCACAAGTTCTCTCGTTTGGGAATACATGGGACCTGATGTCCATATCTCAACTGCCTCATAAGCCACCTCAGGTCTAATAGAGCTTATTAGTTCAGGCACAAGACAGCATGGATGAAGATACTTGCATTTTCAGGGCCATCTGTGTGGTTCAAATGCAAGCTACTATTTGAATCTGTTGCTGGGGAGCCTAAGCTAAAAAGCCCTCCTCAGAGGCAGGCTGGCTTTTGCTGAAGCCAGCTTGTGTATCTGTGCTACGTGCCCAAGTAAGAAAGGGCTAAATAGTCCTGAGATACTACTTTTCCAGAGGTAGGTTATCAGCTCAGTGTAGTGCAATGTAAGTAGTACAGCTGTATTCCTAGGATGCTGCGCTTGAGCTAAAAATGAGTCTTCCTCTAATATATCCAAGACATACCCTTGTACAGAACAACCCTGTCCCTGATCACTGGGGGTAGCAACTTAGGAGAATGCTAGCATCTAGCATCAGCAGTTGCTGCTTTTTTCTAGCTGGTCAGAATAACTTGACACTTGAAGGTATCAAAGGAGCTGACAGAGAAGGTCTTCGCTTTGTGTGCTGCAAGGTTTGTTAGAAGTCAAAGTTTAGGGAAGTAGAGAGGATTGGCATGTGCCAGTACATCCAGGAGTAAAGAAGATGGCCTGAACAACCAGCACCAGCCTGGTGTTAAGGCAATGCCAAATAATGGAGTTGCTGATAAAGGATTTCACTGGCTTTATTAATTCCTTCAACTGGGTAACTGGTCTTGTCCTTCATCTTCTTGAGAATTATTGATTGATAAACACTTAATCGAGTTGTTATAGGTCTTAAGATACTATTGAGAACAAATAGTTGTTATAAAGCGTTGAATTTTTACTGCATCTTTTTGTAGGTGTTTCTTGTTCCTGTGCCATTTACTAGTGGTTTGGAAGAAATACATACTAATTGTCCTGAAACCTAGAATAAAGATTGTTAGAGTATGAAATGTGACAGGATGGGCCAGTCATTGGGAACATGTAATAACTTGCATGTGAGGCAGCTCTGCATTTCCTTTCAGCCAAATGTGAGATCATGCATGTAAGGAAGCAGGAA